CGGCATGGTCTCGAATTCAAACAGACCCTGTGGTACTATAAATGCGGTTTTAGGTCGATCCTTTGGTTCCACTTCGACTTGCCAATAACCTGATTTAAGGTCGATGGTCGAAAACCATTTTGCACCAGCTAGGGCGTCGAGTGTCACGTCTATGCGTGGCAGAGGGAATGAGTCTCGCGTGGTGATAGCGTTCAATCGATGATATTCAATACAGAATCGTAACTTGCCGTCTTTCTTCTGAACTAGTGTAACTGGTGAGGCCCAGGGCGACTTGGAAGGTCGGATGACCCCTGTGGCGAGCATTCTATCAATGAGATCGTTAACCTCTTGTTGTAATTGTGGCGGAACGCGACGCGCGGGTTGCCAAAGTGGTTTCGCCGTCCCTGTATCAATGGCATGTCGAATAAGCGATGTTCGCCCTATTGATAAGTCGTGCCATGCGAACATGTCTGTAAAGTTGGCGAGGAGCGTTTTCAACTCCATTCTGTCTGTGTTGGGAATGTCGTCATCACTCGGGAGTATGTCGCATATATCTGTGGTTGGTAGGGCCACTGCAGCGGTTATCGACGCAATTACTGTGTCTTCATCCATATTTCCAGTTGAAGGTGCCTGCGTTGTCTCAGGAGTGAAGGATAAGATGCGATCGTGTACATTAATAACACAGTGGTTGGAAGCCAGGAAATCCAGCCCCAGTAGGACGTCCCAAGCCAACTTATGTGCGATTATAAAAACGTGTTCCTTAGTAGCATTGGGGAATGTTATTGGAAGTTGGAGTGTGCCGGCGGTATGCATACGTGATCCATCAGCTGTAACTAGCGTAGGTATGGGACGTACTGTGTCGATGTCGTCTATGCAGTTACTAGGCAGTATGTGGTTGGTAACTAACGACACTGTAGCGCCAGTGTCAACTAACGCCTTAACTGAGCGACCGAAGACTTTTACAATAGTATAAAATGGAGCGTTGGCATTAAAGTTATCAGAACAAGTAGGAACGCATACTGTACCCGCATCTTCATTTCTGGCGGTTGGTTTCGTCGTCGTGCTGCATGCGTACCTGTTTGGCGTATTGGGACTACGTTGCGGTGTATACTGATTTTGCTGATAATTTGCGTGGTATGTTGGCAATCGGACATTGGCGTTTCCTCGGCCTGTCGCCGTTCTTGTATCTTGCCTGTACGTCCACGGACGCCACGGTTGTCCATAGCGGTTGAATCCTCCTTGATTTCCTGGTCTTGGTGTTGGTGTGTTGGTCAAGTTGTGTTCCTTGTTCGCCTGCCGGTAGCGTTCGACACGCGCTATCGCGTCTTGGAGTTCAATCGGTGGGTGCATAATAAACGTGTGTTTTAGGTCCGGTAACATCAGGCCTTCGAGAAAATGGTGGAGAACCACTTTCTCTTTGTCAGCTTGTGCGAGTGTTGGGTAAGCCGCATCGGCAAATCGAAGTAAATCTTGTGCGTAATGTTGCGGCGTCTCAGAAGACTGATATCGTCTTCCAATAAGGCCGTTGATGGCCTCACTAAGAGATAGTGTAGGGCGGAGTACTTGTTCCAGTCGTTTGCACAATGTTTCCATGGACATTTCTGTCGTCAGGCCTGCGTCAAGGGCCTTATCTAGTTGTTGTGGACCAAGTGCCTTTAGTAGTGCACGACTGCGTTCATTTGCCGGTATTTCCTGTAGATAAAAACGGGTGCGTCTTAGCCAGGCTTGGAACTCTTCTCGGCCTTCATACTTAGGTAGTAGCAGTTGTGTTGGGGCAATGGTAACATCATTCTTAGTGTCAGCTTGGTTTGGGTTCGTAGGAGACGCTGCCACCATTGTAGCGCCCGAGCACACTGAGCTCTGCGGAAAGGTAGATTCCTCGGGTTTGGAACCAGTACTCAAAGGTTCGTCCCCGTGCACGATGATCTCACTAGGATTGTCGTTATTCATCGCAAGCATACAACACACGGATAATCCAATGATAGATGTAAATAGAAAGGTTTATTGTAATGGATAGAAAAATGAATGTAATATGAAAAGGTCCAAAACGTCACACAGGTCCGCTGATTCAAGGTAAAGCTTCAGGGGAGGTGGAGTTGGAGGCTTCCACGGGGGAGAGAATAAATCCGTCCTGTATCTGCACTAAAAGGCACAAGAGACCACAAAATTGTCAGCTTCTGTCTCACACTTTCTATCTCTTTCTTCTGCTTATTAAAACAAACTGGTCTGGTTCGGTCCAGTCGCTACAGTTTGTCTCGTTTGTGGTCCAGAAAGACTGACCTTGAAACAGGTCTTCTTAATAGTCAAATTCACTAAATCTGAATTAATGCAGACAATTGCAATAATATCATTACATGTGGTTTTTCGTAAATGAAAATACGAAATAAGCCCATGTTTATTTAAAGGAAATCGGAGCTTTCGGTACGTACCATAAGTTCGCATTTTCAGCCCCGTTAATGTCACGTTACAGTATACATCGAGTGAGGCATGCGTGTCTTCCGGTCCAACGTTTTATTGTTCCACTGAACATGTGGCATTAATTAAAATGGTCTCATTCAGGTTATTCACAACGAAGACGGATGTTAGAATTCCAGTGGTATGCAAGAGTAAGAAAGAAAAAGGCTGGTAGATTCCTGAAACAGTTAGTTAATTATTAGTAAGTCATCGTCAGGGCTGACAACATTTGCAGAACAATCGACAGTTATAGGGGGCATTGTCTGATCCGCTGTCACTGACGGAGGTCTAGAGGTGACTGCGCAGGGCTCGGTATGACGGCTCCATATCGATTCATCGACTTACTGAGATGTCCGCCGAGGACTAGGCTTCACTCAGTTGTCGGTCTTTCTGCTTTCTGCATGGGCGGTTATTTTGGTAGCTGCTAAGTTGAACTCATCGGTCGTCTGTAAGCTGTTCTTAGCCCCTTGCAATATTTTGTCGCCCCATCGCGCAGCCAGTCGAAGTCCGTGTATGCGCGATCCCAGCATCTTTCCTGCCTGACTTGGTAGTCACAAGCACAGTTTAGGTATGGGAAGCAATAGATTGCCCCCCAAACTGCTCCTTGGCCTTCAGTCGGCCCTTGGTTTTCATTATCTTACTGCGCATGACAGTTTTAGAGGCGGAATGTATCTAGAAAAGGCTCCGGGAAAATTCAGCCGATACGCCATTTTAACGTTCGCGGGAACAGTGCTATAGGAAGGCAAATCTCCTACAGACTATCTTTATTTCTAGAACACAGAAAATTTATGATTTCAGCTCAGTTTAGCACGGTAAAAACCGGAACGAGTCTCGGAGTACCCTGTGTGCATGCGAAAACAGGGTCCGATACACAGAGAAACTATTTCCACGCTTCAAAAACTCTGCAAGGTAAGGAGAACTTTGAAGCATACAGCCCTGCATGTAGAAGACGCAGTAATCCGCGAGACACTTTGCCTAACACGTTAAATAAATAAATAGATAATTTTATTTAAGACCCTTGGGGGTCCCATCGTAGCAAGTAAAAATAAAATTTCCAGTAAGTTTTAGGACAAGTAGACAGATTCTGTACATTATTCAGTTCAGGGTTGTAGAATAACAGACGCAAATTAAAACGGTCAGCGAGCAGTGAAAAAAACCCTTATGAAAAAGGCAAAATGAGTATGAATTGGTTAACATCAAAGGAGGGAAAATTGCCGCTCATGAAAGGGAAAATATGCTGGTCGAACGGGACTGGCCTTCATATGGCATTGTATAAGGGACTCAAAACGTAAATCGTTAAGGCAGAGCTTCCCAAACCGGATGAATTTGTCCGCCTCGAGGTGACAAGATAAGGGAACCTTGATGCGATCGGACACAGTCCGCTAGATTCCAGCCGAGGACGGAACATTAAACGCTAGGGCGGTCATCAAAGCGTAGAGGGGAATATGCGATCCTGAGATATCTTTGCAGACCAGCTAAACTACTATAAGATGGCGAAGGCAGAGGATTCACGCCGTGATCGTCAACAGACCATTTGGGGTCGAAACAAGGAGTTTACATCAAGATCTACGAAAATCAACGTTTGAGGATGAGGGTTCTAAGTCGTAGGGGCCAGAGTGGAATTCTGATGAGTGCCGGCGATTAGCGGAACGAGGCGGCTCGGAGCGTGCACGTCAACCTAGCCACGCTACTCCTTTGCTAATGTTGACAATTTTCGCAAAGCTCTATGATGACCTCGCCGCGCATCAACTTTCAAGCTAACTGGGAAAGTAATTTCAATACCTCTGCGAGAGTGAGACATTCCTCCAACCGTCTTGTATGCACAGCCTCGCGTGCCTCTTGTGTGTTTAAATCAGAAATAGTCGTTTGAATAACGCCTCTTTATTCAAGGGCAAGAGCCTGGACTTTAACATGCCATAATTTAGTAAAATTTGGCTTGTGAAATGCTGTTAAATAATTTGCAATGGAGATTAGGTCTTCTCATGGTAGTCCTGCTGGTTTACGGTTCAGCTTGATGTGTTGGGCTCACGCCTTAAGTCCTCTCGTCGCTGTGCGCCTATTCCCTTCCAAAAAGCGGGAGGATTACAACGAAAATCGATCTTTCGAACGTTTTTTTATATTTTACTCATTTCGTACTGCATTTTGTCAAGGACGATCCAACATAACTTTCGTGAGGATGAAAAAGAAGGTTAGGAGTTTCACGCCGGGGTAGATGGGCAGCGAGCTCAATGAAATTAGTTCCTGTCCCACAATTATTCGGATAATTATAAATGAAGGAAAATTGAATAAAAGCATGCAAATCTGTGGGCAGTTGTCCAATTTGTTCCATTTAAATTTGAGCGTCGGAGACTGCACTGTTTTCTCTTAGGACGAGAACCCTGGGTTGTGCAGATTTTGCTGTATACACGTGACAATCAAAATTAAATGTTACTGCCTTATACGAAATCTTTATGGCGCCAATTAATGCCCTGCCTTAATCAAAACCTAAAGCAAAACCGTTGACGACTTTGTTTTAATCGGCCCTTTCTGTTCGTGTGTAATCCATTTTCTCGTCCTCTGTAGGCAAAATGGGAGTCGCGCGACCAAAGGAGTGTGGGATAGCGGTTAGGTTCTACGAGAACCCTGAGATAATAGCCAACTTTGATCCTGTCCGAACATGGCTTACCAGAAATCACAAGAAGTACACCCAGTCGGAGCCACCGACAAATAAAAGTCTCGCCAACCTTTGTTATCAATTATTGACGTTCCAAGAACAACATTACAATAAAAACGTTTGTTTGTCTTATTTTCCCAACTAAGAATTTAGGTGAAAGACTCGGCCATGAAACTTCCATCGCGATTGTTTATGGACTTTAAGCCTGGCGGGTCACTGTGTTACATCTTCCTAATGTGCATGAAGTACCGACATGACCAGGGATGGCGTAAACTAGATTTTAATTCCACTCGCATCGAAAAACTGCATGAGATGTTTGATTGCGTCAAGCGTGAGCTCGCAAACCAACGGCTGTGGTCGAAGCCGAGTGTCTACCTCACTGAGATGGATGAGGTAAGTTTCTTTTCCCGTTTTGCTGTTTTCGAGATGGGCTCAAGTTTTTCTTTTTTTCCCTATTTTCGCGTGGACTTATGTTGTTAGTTCGTTGAGGAATTGTTTTTTTGTCATTGCTTTTGCTGAACGCAGTAGTTCTCAGTTTTACTAGTTTAGTACGCATTGCAGGCATAAAAGTGAGTCGCGTACTTTTATCGCAGTCTAGTCGCGACCTCTCACCTGGGCTTTACACATTTAAGAAAATCGAGGGTTTATGCTCCTCAATTGTCGCCGTTTGTCTCCGGTGTCCCCGATACTTTGGTTTCCTGAGGACAGTTTTTATTGTGGCGGCTGCCGTCTACTTAACCACCCTAACCACGCTCGAATGACGACGATCTCTACTCACTCATCAAAATCCACCTCTCTTAGACTTTCCGCTTAAGAATGTAAGGCTGACATTTTCGGATTGCTTTTGTCTACACTCTCCCTGCTCACAAGTTGGCTTCCTTGGCGGTGGCGCCTGAACATTCTAAAGTCTGGATACATCCTAAACGAAAGCCCTTTTTCGACGTACTGGACCTGTGGCCCAACCGTTCAAGACAGAATTTTTTTAACACTTACAGACATTAATCGGAGTAATAAAAGACTGCAAAAAGCGGTAATCGGAGTGACCACTTTGCTTCCGGATCGCGCGGTCATTGTGGTGAATTACGGGCTTAGGACCAGTGGTTAATTCCCCCTATTGGCTTGTGAGGAGTCTTACAAATAGACATTCACCCAGGCATTAACACGGTCTATTGTAAACTTGACCCTCTTCCATGCTTAACGTCCTGGCACACGATCCTTATCAGTGTACACATTGTCTCCAGACGTCTTTAGTCAGTCAATTCTATGCCGCTAATATCATGACCAGAATCGAGTAATATTACGTGACGCCCGCCAGTTCTCTTAGATGAACCATAAGAATGACCGAGCCACACATATATGCTAGGCAGGATGACGCACATAACCGGTACTGACACCGACAGATTGTTTTGCCGATCTTTGAATGAAGCACAAGCACCATTGATCGAAGACGTCCAGGCTGTGTTGGGTTTCTGAACACAAAGGCCCTGCATCATATCCGTGCTGGATAATTGTCTTAACCGGAGCCTACTTTGCTCGAAGCTCGGTCTTCAGACTGATTTTATGCCGAATCCAAAAGTTTAGACCAATTCGGACGAGGCTGCACGCGCTCCTGACAGATTTGATGGCCAACTTTACCCTTGCTTGTTAAACAGAAGGTTTGACCCAAGGTATCAGAAGTTTTTGACTATGCTAAGAGTTTTGCCGTCTATCGTGACCATTTAGAGTTTTTTAGCTGCAGGACTTGAGGCGATCCTACCCGCCTTTATATTCAGACCTATTACGGCTGCCGCGCCGTTTTGTGACGAAATGTTGCATCTCTGCAAATGTGCACATCAGCACCCCAACACAGCACTACCAGCCTCACCCAAATCTGTAATGCACGGATCATGACCTCTTATAGCACTGGAAGGGTCTGCTAGCACGTAAGAGCTATGGATTCTACGACTGTTATTTTCACTTTGAGCAATCAAAATGAGGTCACCCCAACACCATTGTTAACTACGATTAACTGGCAAACGTAACAGCGGAATCCCGGATTTTAAGTGACGATTTTCCATAATTTCATCAAGTTCATCGGATATTACAACAGTTTTTCTTCCTGGTTATCTTATGCCCAGAGTTCAGCAGCGCTCATCCGCGAAACTGCAGTACGCATGGGATTAACGCTCGCAAAACTGCCTGAACATGCTACACACATTATTCACCGACCTCCTGACGGTTGGTGTGGCGATGCTCGTGAGGATTCGGTTTCTCAGGCTTTCCGACCGATTTTCAAGGAAGGCAGGGGCCTTATGCTGCATTGGCTCTACGCGCCTGGTTCCTTTGATACGTGGCATACGAGTGAGCAACTCAAGTTTTCGCATACCATGCTAGCATTATTGGAATACTTGAACCATGTAGCTGACTATTTCTTGCGTCATTCTACTTTGCGATCACCCCTTACCTTGGACACTTTCTCAGATCTGCCAGTTGAATGGCCTTCGGACATTGATCCTGAGCCGCGCCCGCCCCTTGGCACGCCCTGGGAGGTCGATGCAAGATGGCTACTGTACTCAATGGAACATCATGAATGGATGATTGAGGAGGACTTTCTGGCACCCAACAGTACGCTGCGCCCAAGAAAGTCGTATACATGTAAGTGATACCTCTTACTTCGCTAATCGTGTCTTTTATATTCTTGAGACGCGTTGTCGCACTGTTATTTCCTCCAAGCCCCCCCCCCCCCATCCCAGTTTATGCCGACCGCGCAGCGACTCCACAGTGCTTCTAACGTGGATACCTGCTAAAAGCTTAGGCATTTTCGTCATGTTTCTGTCGTTTAATGCAGCCGGAACAACCTTGCGTACATAGCTTGTACACCTTAAGGACAGGGTTGGTTACCTCGATAGAGGGGGCGTTGTCTTCGAGACTCCACGTGCCAGTTGTGGTGCTGCCTACTGTGGCCAAACTGGAATCCGTCTCGACACGTATACATGAACATGAGTTAGCGGTGAGGAGAACCTGTTTGCCGGTTTCATTAGCATAATTGGCTTAATCACAATTGCAGTCTATCCGGCAAGTGACCACTGATTTCCGGTTGATGAGAATAGGATCCTTAGGGTTCATAATTTGCCGCGGATTGTTGCTTCAGGTCTGACCGATGCCAATCCCAAATTCGCCCATCAGTCTGGCGATGACACAAGCTTCATCGGCCGAGCCAGCGACAAGATGGCCAGCCTGGTTCTCGAAAGTTGGTCCTCAGTTGGCACAGTCAACGGAGCCATTGGTCTTCATCCGGCCTACCATGCGTTCCGTGCGGGGCTTTAGTCAGTCCAGACGGGGCCGACAACACTGGCGAACAAATCGCAGCTATCTCAACAGTTGTCACCTTCACAACAGGGGGAAAGAGCTAGTCGAGGGTCAGACGACCGACGCGCCCAAATAGCCGAACGCGATTAGCACATGCAACGGCAGCCGATCAACCCATCAGGTTATGGGGGGAAGGCCCACAGACACAGGGACCTAGCGGCGACAACGACTGCCGGGCAGGGGACAGAGGATGCACGAGCGCCGTAGTGGTCGGCCACGGAGAGGCCAAAGCCAACCCCCCGCCAGCAGGCAGGTCAGAGTTCGCGTACCAGGCATGCCTATAACACGAGACAGGCGGTGAGACAGAACAAGCCTGAGCTAGCCAGGAATAAATACCACCGCTCTGACGGTGGGATTGCGGAAATTGCCGGAAAACCAGCACAAATGCAGTGTGTTCCATGGAATCGCCCCTTCTTCTTCGTCTCCTTTTGGGGATGATGAACGGGATATATATTTATTTACATGTAATCTGCCCATCTGTCAACAGGACAACGGACCCGTGGCTCAGTGGTAGTGTCAAACTGCATGGTCAGAACCGAAATTTCAATGAACATCCGAGTCGTAGTACCACGAGTTGCATGAAATCCATATGGATTTCATACTGCAATAGGTGGGATTCTTTAGGACCAAAATAATCTATTATGTGAGCTTTCGAGACCAGTTCCCCATCTCGTCGTCAGACCCATGGGTCATATACAAAAACAGTTAGCTACTCAATTTATTCTGCAGTTGTCCGAAGCCTGCGCCAATTTGCGTTGATTACGTTTTGTCATCTCCTTGGCATTGACCGCCTTAATGCTCACTTTTTCCTTGAGAAATTTTTGCGTGGCATCTAAATCGACTTTCCGACTGGTGCATGCCTCATCTAAGTAAATTGCTTTCAGTAATTCACGGCCTACACCACAAATATGTCTGCTGACGCTTTGCTCCAACAACTAGATCTATATATATTTTTTTATCCAACTAATACTTTTCTCCCTGAAATCGCCAGTCGAGGAGTTTTTGGACGCCGCAAGCACTCAACACGCACCCAGCTCTCAGCTGACTGGTGCCTTCTCGGCCTCCTCGCTCTCCGCCTCAGCGCATTCCACAGCAGCGGTGACTCCGTCTTCTCACTCCCATCACCATCAGATGGCGGCCGCCGCCGTCGCCGCCACCTCCGGCGAGAATACTAGCCACAAAAAGAAGCGCCGACGCTCACCGTCTCCCACAACTGCCGCTGACTACTACAACGGTAGTCAATCGCAACAGTCTTCAAACAGCAAAAAGCGTCGTCATGGCTCTAACCTGCCCACCAGCTCCAGTTTCTCTACCAAACACTCCAATTCGTCCTCCAGTACTAGCTCATCCAGAAAGGTGAAAAAGGAGGTTAGTACCCATTCTTAGGATGTGTGAAGGGGAGTGGGCGGGACAGAGCTTTCTTGGGCCCTCTTTCAGAGTTGCAACGTCCCGTGTGCCACAAAGATCCCTGACAGTCGAAGTGGGTTTGAGACTAAAATCTCCCAAGGTGAGCCAGATCGCCTCGGGTTTCACTGTCGAACATACCCGCCTGGTCACGATATATAACAAAACCCCCTGGGATAGTGGACATCTTTTGTTATTTTGTGTCGGACCCTCTGTCGAATAGGTCAGAGTGAAATCTACCGTCGCGGCCGTCGCCTAATTTCGTCGCAACCCCCGGAAACGGCACGAAATCAGTCTGAAAACCTAGGTGCAAGTGCACGAGGCTTCGTCTAAGACGATCATTTGCACTCAGAGATTAGACACCACTTGAAATATTCGATCGACGGTGCTTCCGCCTCATTCTTCCGACGACTGTGAAGTTGCCCTCTAACAAACCGGTCCATTACGTCCACCTTATTCGGCAGCTACAACGGTTTTGCCATGTGCTTAGAACGCCACTTTGTTGGCTGGTCCCGACAGTTAGAGTGGGGCGCATGTTCGCGAATCTGCAGTATAGAGTTAGGCTAATAAGCGTTGATAGGCGCCTTTACAAGTGACAGTTCGATCGTCGTTACCAACGATCTCCATCTTGTGCCCCACGACAGGGTAGACGCAGGGACGGTGATCGGGTCGTAAATTTATGGTGATCGTAGGCTTTCGCAGCGTCTGCCACACTCTCCGCCTACCTGGGTCTGTTGTCAAGACAGTCAAGAAGTCGGGGGCCGGACGCAGGTAGCTGGTTCGGTGTGAACCCGCGCCTAGACGGGCTGCCATACTCTCCGGTCCGCGCACAAAGGGCCGGGATTTCATACAACAAGAAGGAGGGAGAGGGCGGCGTGGAACCCAGCTGAGTGGGAGTGCCATGAAGGTCACAAACCGTTGCTTTGTATAACAGCAGAGCAGCCACTTTGAGGCCTGAATATAGTAGGCAATACAGAACTGACCGTTATGTCTACTTAGCCCCTTCCAACTCCCGCTCGTTTCGTCTCATCTTTGCTTAGTCTTAGCATAACGCACTGGATCTGGTGGGATAGCATGGTGTCGACACTGTACAAGTTTTCTCTGCCATAGTATCGTTCACGTGCGTCATTACTGCCGGCTGTACAGTAGCGATCCTTGTCGGGTAATGGCCGCGTCATTTTATGAGGACAGCTCGCTTTTCCTTGACGTCTGGGATTTTAAAGACAGTGCTGTTCTTCTGCCTCCCGAAAGGTCCGTAGAGACGTAGTGTCTGAATTTACATTTTAACTTTAACATATTAACTTTCTGCTTCTTCAGGCAAAGGTTATTCTCTTCAACATAAACGTAGGTTCATTTTGTCTTTCAAGTTCTTGAGTTCGTCAACCTCAGTTGTTCAGCAGCACTTTCTATTGCATCTATTTGTTTTTTTCACTTTTCTATTGGTCGGCAAAGCCACCGTTTTCTACGTTCGATGTTACCGTCTCTGTGTTTTGTGTGGGAACTCCCTTCCCCCACCGAAGCTTTCAAAAGTCTCACGCACACACAATCCACCCGCGCCCTGTCGTGAATAAACAGGTGGCTACTCTCCTCTGTCGCATACGATGCTGAAGGAAGTGCCAGTCTGAGACCCAGCCAGAAGTGTTGTTTTCTACAGTAGTTTGCTTATAGGTGTTTCGAGAACTCCTCTGTGTGTCGGCCGGATGTGGTTCGTTGAAAGCCTTCTCTGAATGCGGTCTGTGTCTTTGCGTCCGACTTAAAATGCGCCAATGTGTATAAAGTTTTGCGAAGCCGCGCTTGTAGAGTGAGCCTAGATACTTATCGAAAATGTAACCGGCCATCCTTTGGACTAAATTGTACATCCTCTCGTCTGGATTTGACCTTGCCACTGCTAGGCGACGATACTGTGCAACTCTTCCTCTCTTTGGTCCAGCCTATGCTCCTTGGTCTGGTTCAAGTCGAGAGTCTAAGTGGTATTTTATCGTACCTAACGTCACTTTCCAGTCACTGTCGGGATTTACGCTCTCTACCTATATGAATGAGGCCCAGGACGCAGGGACCAGGCTTTGACTTCTTCGGGCTCGAGAGAGAGAGCCCCAAGGCACTATGAAGCGAGTGAGTTCCGTAGCGCGATCGGTGAGCGTTCCCCTCTTCCATTGTATGTACACGTTTGCAACCGACAGGACGACGAGCCCGTAGATCAGTGGCTAGAGGCGTTGGGCTTCTAACTAACAGGTCACAGGATAAGGCCCCAGGTGTTCCACACTTCGTGGTGGGGTATGACTGACGACGGCTAATAAGCCAGAAATGGCCCTTCCAGTCTGCCTTGTCTTTGTCGACAATGCCATTCTGCATAGATCACGCGCTGCTGAACTGCAACTCACAGTGCGACGAGTGAGTTCCGTTGCGCGATCGGGGAGCGTCCTTCTCTACCATTGTGTCACAGCTTTCTTCATTGAATTGATTTTGCTCGGTATTTTTTAAGGATTACCTCGCAATGACGCCAGATACTCAAAAAGATGACACCAATGACACACCTGACCTCACCAAGGAACTCGACGACCCAGAACCGCCGCATAAGGTGACTCAGGCCGCGATGACCCCCGGCACCCCAATGTTACCATCTCGAGGCTCTCGCACCTCAATCGCCACCACTGAGCTGAGTGAGTATATTCCTCTTTATGTTTGTCTCAGTGCGAGCTCTTTAAACACCAAGTTCCAAATCATTTCTGTCCTGTATCCGGTATAGGATTGATGTGCGCACGATTTCCATATGACTGAATACTCATTTTAGGGTAAGGTGATACCATACTAACAGCACAGGTATTAGCCAAAAGCCCATACACGCGTGTTTCGCCGATATTCTGCCGCTGCATGGCGCAGCCGCTAGGGGTTCGGCTCGTCAGTGGGTCCCCCAGTATTTCCCGTGTATGGACTTTTGGCTAGTACCTGTGCTGTTAGTATGGCATCACCTTACCCTAAAGTATACTTTTAGCTGTCTGTCGACACTTAATGAATATTACGCGGTTACCCGCTGTAGCTGATGGACTTTGGCCCAAATATTCATACATACAATTCTCGGTCTGAGCCTATAGACCTTGAATAAACTGATCTACTCCAACTTCGTAGATAATTTCTGAGGAAATGAAAAAACGAAAATGAATTCTCATTATCACATTCGACGACGTATGGGCTCATGGCTCAGGCGGTGGGGTGTTTGGCTCACTGACCGACTGATCCAGGTTCTCACGCCTGAGGTCTTCCCGTTCTGGATTTATGTATGCATGTCTGAAACCGGCCAATAAGCCAGAAATGGCCATTTCCGTGTTTCATGGCTATTCTCCGTCCCGCCTTTTTGTTTAGCTGGTGAACAGGTGAATTCGCCTGCCGCTGGACTGGACGATCCCAACCGTACACTTGACGGTGGCAGTGGAGGTGAGGGCGGCGAGCAGCCGGTGGGTGATCTCAGTGTGATCGAGCAGGCGCACTGCATTGTGATCCCGTCCTATTCGGCCTGGTTTGATTACAACGCCATTCACGGCATCGAACGGCGTGCCCTACCGGAATTCTTTAATGGACGTAACAAGAGCAAGACACCCGAGGTCTATTTGGCCTACCGAAACTTCATGGTGGATACGTATCGCCTCAACCCTCAAGTGAGTCGCCAGTAACTCAACTTTTTTGCCTCCGGACAACAAGGGGTCGACGCGAAATTGTTCGACGACGTTCTTGTCGGCCCTCCCCATTTTCGGGAAATCATGAGTAATTGACTGTTGACTGGAGGCGCGTTTGCACTGACACCAAGCCTAAGTCGATGACGAAACCTCATATATATGTACAGCACAGTACTACAGTACGTGACCTATCTCATGAAATCTGGTGACAGAATCTGATGTGAGAATTTGGGACGTCTTAAACGTTGCGCACTTTGCTTACCCGCTCAGCCTCCTTTAGGAAATTGTGCAGAAATTGTGCCTACGTAATTTTTTTTCAAGCAAAATGCTCATAAATTTGGTCGAAAATGAACGTTGCGGTATACTCGGGCAATTTCCTGTACTAATATCTGTTCTGGACTTCGGTTGCCCATCTGTGGGTTATTATCAGATGTGTAAGCGTGTCCATGTCATGATAAAAACAGTCATGATGGTTCGTGTAAATTTTGCTAACTTGACCAGTTATATCGAAGGGTATAATCAGGATTTGTCTTTCTTAGCAGTTGCACCTTTCCCATATGTCTGCATAGTATCTGCAAGGTCATTTTTCGTTTCGTACGACTAACTCGCCACATTTCCAATGACCGGTAAACAGCAAGAGTTCGGTCGTGGAGCAGGTAAAGGTGACTTGGCCTATCAGCCGGCTCGCGATTTCCCTGTATGGCTATCTGTCTAGTGATTGTTACTTTGAAATCATAGGCTGTTGTTTAAACCACGCCTGTCATTAGATACGGATACGTGTGTGCTCATGCCTTATCTATCCGACCTCTGTGCTGCTACGGGTTGCACCTGTCCACATGTGAGGATCGGCAGCGGCGGATCTGGACTGCTTGGTCCAGGGACCACCTACATCTCCTAACGGACTCTATGAAGCCAGGTCTTTAGCTGATCTCTTCGTAGCTTCGAGGTGGGCATCGGGGCCGGATGAGGGGTATACAGCATCGAACTAATTTGGCGTGCGACAAGAAACGCACTTAAGCAACTTCAGCTGTCATTCCTGGATGACCTGAGGTATTCTCATGGTGTTGCAGCGAGTATGGATGGTCTCATTCAAGACGAAGTCGGTGTACTTCACCAGAAGGACGTTTTTAGGCAACGGTGGTCAAACGCCTCCCGTTTTGGTCCACCTGTCACGCGCACAGCCCATTATTCACAACGGTACATATGAGGATTGACCGCGCACTTGTTCCTTATACGTGGATAATTGTGACGATGGAGATGTCGCGACGTGGGAACTGCGGATTCGGGCGACGCTGTCGCCTTTGCTGTGTGCATTTGGCAGCAACCTCACTTCGAAATCAAAACTGACAACCATTAGCCCCCGAGGGACACCTTCTCTTGGCCAGAAGGCGGGCAAAGTATGCCTGAGGCCAAGTCATCATGAACGATTTAACCTCCCATGTTTGTTCGATAACCCAGAGTCAGAGCGTCAGTGTCCACAAGAGAACCGCGGAAAATCGTAGATACAACCACCTTTCTTGGTTTGCCTCATTTACCGTGCTCTGGTTTACCTTTTTGTCCATGTATTTGCTAATTTTGTTTGCCTAGGAATACCTCACCTTCACAGCATGTAGACGCAACCTAACTGGAGACGTGTGCAGCATATTGCGCGTACACGCCTTTCTTGAGCAGTGGGGTCTCATCAACTACCAGTTGGCGGCGCCACTATTCGCCAGTGGACCGGCTGCCGGCGGCTCTGAGGCAGCCAGACTCGCGGTCGCCGCCAGTCTCGGCCCGCCATCCACCGCACACTTCCATGTCCTCACTGACAGCGCTAGCGGTCTGCAACCGCTGGGTTCGCAGAATCAGACCGCTTTGAACGCCATGGCGGCTGAGGCCGAGAAGGCGGCGGGAGAGTCCACCTCCGCCTCCGCGAAGACCGACCCCACCACTGTCGCCGACGTGGACCCCGCAAAGTCTGCTAAGGTATATGTCTCGTTTAGCCCCCGCGTCAGCCCTTCTTTGGCAGCTTCAGTGCTAATACTTGTCTTCCCTTTAGTCTGAAGCCGGTGCGTTGGATGCCTCAGCTGCCGCCGCCGCGGGAGTAGCCAGCCAGCAAGGCATGCAGTCCGCCACTGCAGTAAGTGCCTCGAGTGCTCCCCCACCACTCATGGTGGGTGATCCAGCATTCCGCAGTGACCAGTACCTGAGTAAGCCGAATCAGTTAACCGAGTTGGCACCCGCTGGCGCCGGCGCCGCCAATGCGCCAACGGCTGAGACCCTCGCGGTCAACCAGGTCCTGGTGAAGGGCGCCTCCAAGGATGGCTGGACCGACCAGGAGACGCTGCTCCTTCTTGAAGCCCTGGAGATGTATCGCGATGACTGGAATAAGGTGAGTAGGGTTCTCCTGTATTGTGTTAAATTGTGTGGACGGAAATGCATATTTAATTTTGATAACCTGTGCCTGCTGTTCAGTATAACGCCTTTCCGCACTCGACGATCTGCGCTATCGGATGCGGAGACTTTGACTCACTCTCCCTCAGCAGTGGAGACCGAATGCTGGAGGTCAAAAAACGCTTCACTCTGCAGGATGATAGTGTTAAGTCGGGCTTTCCAGGTGCTGTGCTGACGCCGACATCAGGCATTGCACTCGTGGGGCAAGTCATGCATGACGTGGCTGGAGTGTTTCAGTCGGCTTCCTTCAGCGGGCTGGTGTATTATCGCGATGTTTTCGAATCAGTTTCGAAGTCGAGACAGAGACGCCACTCCGCCGTTTGTGTGGACTCTCAGCCTACAGCTCCAAGGCAGAGCGAAAATGCCCGTCGTGCACTCAGGATAGGTTGGTGCACGCAATTCTCATGTGATCAAGCGTGGACTGTCTTCTTCCCCACTAACTTTGTGCGCCTCATTTAAGGGACCGTTCGTGGTCGGACCCTTTTGTTTTTGCTCATATTCTATGTGCATAGCCCCACGAACCGCAGTGGTGGATCGACCATATGGATCCCCGGTACACGCTCATTTTTGGTGATTACGATACAAAGACCCACCCTAGGCTTGTAAATTGTCCCGCGAATGTATGTATCCTTACCCCTTCTATTTCGAAATTATTTGACTCCTGGATATTCCAAAGTGCGCTTCCGGCTGACAGTCGCTAGCCACAGGGGATGCCGTCATACCAAAGGTCTAGTTGAGAGATATCTTGCTTTTTGTGTTGGCAGATAAACTAACTGAGTAAGCCATGCTGTTCATGTTGCACGGTATATCATGGGCCGCTGTGCGGCTGCTGGTTGGGCTCGAGAGAGAACCCGTAAGGCACAACGTAACGAGTGAGTCCCATAAGAACGATCGGTGAGCGCCTTCTACCACAGTACACTCTATTGGTCATAACAGGTTTACACATCAGTAGTTCTCAGCAGGAACCTTTTAGCTGTTGAACACTCCAACATTCGCAACAAAGGTCCCTCTTCTCCAACGATAAACAGCCTAGCCAAGATAGTTGTCGTTAATTAGGACAGACGAGTTTGGTCACCCATCTTCCCGTTGTTAATTCCACCTGCAACTTGGAATTATCGAACGTGGGAGGGCCCAAGGCCCCACTTGCAGCTGACCGGTCTGATAATACTCCTAATCGCCCCCGCTCCATCATAACCTCCCTTCTGCCCATGTAGGTGGCGGAACACGTGGGTAGTCGAACCCAGGACGAGTGCATACTCCACTTCCTCCGCCTGCCCATCGAGGATGCCTACTTGGAGGGCGACTTTGTTGGTGGTACCGGCGCCGGCCCTGGACTGGCGGGTCTAGCCAATGCGGCCTATCCACAGCCACCCTTCTCCCGTTCCGGTAATCCCATCCTCTCCACGGTGGCATTCCTGGCTGCAGTGGTGGATCCACGGGTGGCTGCCGCTGCGGCCCAGGCCGCCCTCAAGGAGTACGCCCAGATGCGCGACGAGGTGCCCGCCGGCCTCTTACACGAGCACAAGGCTCTCATCGAGGCCGTGGTCGCTGAAGGCCGTCGCGACGTGGATCCCACCAAGTTTGGTCTGGAGGAGTTGGGCATTGCTCTCAGTCCGACCTCTGCTAAGACGGAGGAATCGACTGCAGCTGAGAAACAGGACTCCAGTAAGGTGAGTGGTACGGTTTTCTCCCACGGGGATTACATCACTGTATGAGTTCGGTAATATTCCTTATGTGTGTTATGGGTTACAAACCTACACATCTCGTGGACTTTGAGAAAAATAGAAGGCCTCTGTGTATGCTAAAATATCATTTCTTAAGAGCCTTTGATTTGAACTGAGATGGACTAGGGTTAAGCAGATTTTCGACTTTGAGGTCCAACGTCTAGTGCGTCTACTTCCATACTTTCTTGTACTGTTCCTGCTGTAGTGCTTTTTGCAGCCAGGTCAACAATGGGTCCGTTGTATGGCTTTCTTTGACGGATAGAAGTACCCGGATTTGCCCGTTAAAGCTGTCCTGATTAATGCGCTCGACTGCCGCTATGAGCGATATTGGCCACCCCCCGTCTTCGCTGTCTGGAAGACTTCTGCTCCTCTTAGTGCCTCACTGTTTTCTTTTCAGTGTACGTGGACGGATTATCCGTTGAATCTACGGTTACTGTTGCTGGCGTCTGGCTAGTTCACGAGATGGCAGTGTGTTGGGACTGCTTGCGTGCATGTGTGCGATATCCAGTACTTGTTTTTAGCCCTGTATATGCGGGTGCTACGTTGTCACTCAAATATTTGCGAGACCTGGCAAGTTCTACGCCCATGACCTGGGGGCTACGCGCTGAATCCATTCTCATCCTTTTCGTTACAGGACAGTTCGACTGAATCAAAGGAGCAGGCAGCCGCGGACACTAGTAGCGGTGCTATCGAAAAGGCTGGTGAGTCAACGGCAGCTGGGATCGGCGGCTCTGAGTCGCTGACCAGCTCGGATTCCACCAACGAGACTAAGATGGCGACCGCAGTAAGTGGTCAGACAGAGGGAGGCAAAACAGGCGTCACTGCAGCAGCCGAAAAGATGGAAGTTGTTGATACTCAGTCAACCGGTGTTTCCGCCGCCTCCGTCGACATAACCTCCGAGCTTCCAACTGAAGGCGGTGACTCTAAGGCCACTTCTGAGGCCCTGGTAGCAACATCAGAGAAGCAGCGACAACCTGCAACTGACGCAGAGGCTGCGCCACCGCCCTCCGCTAAATCTGCCGTCAAGGAGGAGACGACACGCACCAACAGTTTGCCGCCTAATCCAGACAGTCTGGGTACTGCGGCCGCTTGTGCGCTAGCCGCGGCAGCCACAAAAGCGCGTCACCTCGCTAGTGTCGAGGAAAAACGTATCAAGGGCCTTGTGGCCCAGCTGGTTGAGACGCAGTTAAAGAAGCTGGACATAAAGCTGAAACAGTTCCAGGTACGTACCTCCCAATTCATGCTTCTCTTGTATCTCTCTTTTCTATCCTATTGGTCTGTTGACCTCTATGGGAATTCTGAGTCATTCAAAACAAATACACCTGTCTGTCCGCATGTTTAGTCTTTCTCACTCTCTTTGTTTAGGAATTAGAGGCCATTTTGGAGCGCGAACATGAGATGCTGGAGCAGGCGAGACAGCAGCTCATGCACGAACGGCAGGCCTTCCACATGGAAGTGATAAAGACGATGGAAAACCGCGCACGTGCCCTCGTCCAACAACAACAGCAACAACAACAACAACAGGCGGCACTTCAGAACGCTCCCCACCTCCAGCCTATGAAGTACCTGTCACAGCCTCAGCAACAATCGCCACAACCGCAACAGCAACAGACCGGTCTTCCTGGCGGCCCGCCGATGCCGCCCTACATGCAGGGCGGTTCAGGCGGTGGCAGCGCGATGACACCAGATCCACACGGGCCATCAGGGATGATGCAGTATCCACCCTCAATCCGTGGGCCCCCACCACCACAACATCCGGGGGCTCCGTACATGCAGCAGCAGCAACAACAGCAGCCACACCCTCATCAGCAGCCGGCGCCACCTCCCCATGCACCGCTGCCCATGCCACAACAGCAACTCCAGCAGCGCCCACAGCCGGTAAGTGGCTTCCCGTCTTCGGGAATGCCACCGGTGCTCCACACGGCGCCGCCAGCTCAGCCACCACAACAGCCCCCGGCACCGTTAGTCATCTCTGTGAGTCAAGCCTCCAATAATGCAGTCAGTACTGTTAGTTCGCCTGGCGTCGGACAGGTGTTGAGGCCCGCGGACAATCAACAAACATCGCCTGCAGCACCCTCGCTGGCGACAGCCCCCGGTGCTGACCCGTCAGTTTCCGTGGGGGCTCCGCGCTCTCTTGCGGCGCCGGGAACAGAGGAGAGGGCAGATCCGCAACAGGCGCCACCGGCACTAGAGCAACAAGACAAGTCGGAGGCCCTGCAACCTCTGTCGCGGCGCGCAGAAGAGGACGACGAGGAAGGTGATGAAGATGAGGATGAAGAGGAAGAGGACGACGAAATGGAGGAGGGGGCGACTGCTGCTCCTGTCTCAGCTGCTACAGTTGGAGCGGTAGAAGAGTCTGTGGTACCACCCCAGGCTAGCCCGAGGACGGAAGCCCACGAAGAAAAAGGTGTTATGCCGCCAGTATCAGTGATGCAGCCGGTGACTCTAGTTGCTGAAGGCGGCTCAACTGTGGTGCCCCTGAGTCATGAGGCCGCGGGGGACCACTTGGCGAGGGAGCAGCAGCAGCAGCAACAACAACAACAACAGCACTTTACGGAGAGCGGTGATAGGTAAGATCCCGCGCCCAACCCTATACGGTCTACTTTATTGCTGCCTCCTTTCCTTCATGTCCGTGCATTTCGGCCTCACTTTGTCCCTGTGTGTCTGTTGTTACTCACTTATTGTAATTTATTAACTGCAATCTTCCCATATATACATATACACATTTTTACGCATATATTGTTTTGGCTCTTGGCTAACCTGTCGGCACAGCTCCTCCTAATCGCACTTGTTCGGGTGCTGCACTGACCAAGATTTCGGAACAAACAACTGAAGCACTCACCCCTAGCCCCGACTAAGCTAAAATCCATTCTTGTTATTGGTCGATACTGTTTTGGGATCAGCAGACTTTGTGCTGTCCTCAACTAGGGGTGGTTCGGGCATGTTCTTCGCCGTCCACCTCAGGAGCTCAGTGTTACTTCCCTCGATCCGGCACCGTTGACCCATTGGAGGCGTCGAAGAGGGGGTCAGTTCAAAACCTGGCTCGACACTGTTCGTCAAGACCTTGGACCTTCGGTATTCGGTCTCCGTCGTTGGCGAAGGGAATGGGTTGAGCTGTCCAGATCTGCTGCCGCGGATCGTCGCGCGTGGAGAGGTACAGTTCGGGACATCATCGAGGCCGGCTAGATCAGGCATGATCACAGCCGTATCAAGTACAAGTACTAGGGGTAAGAAAGTTACTTCCTGATCTCTGGATATTTCTGTAACCACCAGCTACGCGAGAGGTTAAGAATCGGTTTCGCGAAGGGCGTCTTCTCGCAAAACCTACCGTTTATTCCTACCTTAAACCTTACAGGACGACGGAAAATGTTGCGCAGCGTTTTTCTCACGAGATCAACAAAGCAGTGGGTTGGCTCTGAACAATGGTTTCGGAATCGGACGTCCCGCTCTATGCTGTCAGCTCTCTTTGGTCTCTGAGTGCCGCCAGCATGTCGAAGCAGTGGGCGCTTATTAGGTGGATCCACCTGATAAGAACCGCCGTTATTTGTCGTAACAACGCACAATGCCCACGGGCCGTTGTTTTGAAAATCTCGGAACACGATGCATAAACCATCCGGTCGTTAACGTCTGGATATCTAAGCCGTCGTTTAGGACCTCCATAGCTCAGTAAACGGCTATGCCTGGGACAAGCTTATGTAGACAATTGGGACGCGATAAACCAGCGAAGTATTGGAGTATTTTTCCTAACACAGTTTGACGGCTTTCGAACATAAGCAATGGACAGCCTAACCGGTAACCTACGGGCGGATAGGGACGTGCCCGCAGGAAAAGTAGTCAGACACAGCAAAGAGAAGTCGCCACCTATCTCAAAAACAGCCGCCAACAGTGGCACGTTTGTTTCCAGACGCTGTGGACACAAGTCAATTCGAGACTAACAACCACTGTGAAATTCGTCTGTGATCTTACCTGATCGAGGTAAGCAGCAAGTGGTTGAGAGGCAAGGGATAGTTTATAAAAATAAGTTTTACTGTCGTTAACTTTGCCATCGGTCGTGGAACAAGGGTACGAAGGTCATAACAAAGGAGTCTAAAAGGGTGATAAAAAAGGGAAACAAGGGGATTTCGTAAAAAATGGTCTGGTGGTCACCAGAAGAGAGTTCGCTCCATGAGGCCAGAAAGCCAACCAGAAATGCCGCCGCCACCGCCCTGGGGACCCCAATCCCGATTTACCATGTCTTGACGTTGGGGTACCCCGCGAGATGAGTCCACCTCAAAGAGATCGGCATCGTTTGTGAGGTATGGATGTGGTACAGGCGGCTGCTCGCGAGACGCAGGGACCTTGAACGTGGCGGTTGTAATGCAGCTTCTACGATCAGAATCTCCGCCGTGGGCGACTACTGTACGCCTAGGGGAGGGATGAGCGGGTAGTCATTACAAGACAGTTGCGGTAGGCTGTAAGAGGCCATAGCTATAGGCAACAATCCGGCGGTGTTAGTAGTTGGTGTCATGCAAGTATTACATCTAAGATGCAGCCAAGAAGCGGAATCAGTAAGAAAACTTGTTCGTGGGACACCAACGGTGGCAGTTGCTGGTTACCATGTGCTAATAATTCAGTTAATGGCCCAAGACGTTTTCGGTAATGCCTGCGATTACACTTCACGCCGTCTCGAAGATCGGCCAGCAAGGAACTGATGTGAAGATGTCTAGACCAAAGTGGTAACATCATTACTATGCAAACACCAGTCAAAACCACTCTCGTAGGCAAATGCGAATGGACCAGGGCAATCCAAAAAGAAGACAGTAGTACTGAGAACTTCAGGTCTAATAAGGCTCCTTGGCTTTAGTTGTCGAGCTACTGAAAATTAAGGTTACACAACGCCGTCTTACTACGATTTCCTGAAATTCCTACGGAGGCGTAGGGTAAGCAAGGGACTTGGGACTTACGTCGATTTCTGCCGTCGAAGAACTGGGCGGGCAGATATACTACGATTCCCAGCCGACGAGGCGAGGTCACAGCCTTCGCGGACTTTTGTGAGAACGAGTTCGGG